GTGCTATACAGTAGGACCTTATTGTTTATCTATTTTAGATATAGTAGTGTGTACATTTTAATCCCAAACTCCTAATGTAACCTCCCCCTCCCTCTGCTCCCACCCCTCGGGATCCCCTTTGGTAGCCATAAGTTTGTGTTCTATGTCTGTGAGTCTGTGTTTTGTAAATAAGTTCATTTGTATCTTTTTTTCTTTTTTAAGATACCGCATATAAGTGATATCATATGATATTTGTCTTTCTCTGTCTGACTTACTTCACTTACTATGATAATCTCTGGGTCTCCCCATGTTGCTGCAAATGGTGTTATTTCATTCTTTTTTTTATGACTGAGTAATAGGTACCACATCTTCTTTATCCAGTCATCTGTCATGGGATAGCTAGGTTGCTTCCATGTCTTGACTGTTGTAAATAGTGTTGGTATGAACATTGGGGTTCATGTGTCTATTTGAATTAGAGTTTTCTCCAGATATATACCCAGGAGTGGGATTGCATGACCATATGTTAACTCCATTTTAGTGTTTAAAGTAACTTCCATACTGCTCTCCTTAGTGGCTGCACCAGTTTACATTCCCACCAAAGTGTAGGAGGGTTGATTTTTCTCCACACCCTCTCCAAAATGTATTGTTTGTAGACTTTTTAATGATGGCCATTCTTATTGTTGTGACATCGTACCTCATTGTAGTTTTGATTTGCACCTCTGTAATCATTAGCGATGTCGAGCATCTTTTCATGTGCCTGTTGGCCATCTGTAGGTCTTCTTTGGAGCAGTATCTATTTAGGTCTTCTGTCCATTTTTTGATTGGGTTGTTTTGTTGATATTAAGCTGTATGAGCTCTTTATATATTTTGGAAATTAATCCCTTGTCAGTAGCATCTTCTGCAAATATTTTCTCCCATTCTGTAGGTTGTCTTTTTGTTTTGTTCATGGTTTCCTTTGCTCTGCAAAAGCTTTTAAGTTTAATTAGGTCCCACCTGTTTATTTTTGTTTTTATTTCCATTACTCTAGGAGATGATCCAAAATGATATTGCTGCCATTTATGTCAAAGAATCTTCTGCCTATGTTTTCCACTAGGTGTTTAATAGTATCCAGTATTACATTTAGGTCTGTATGCCATTTTCAATTTATTTTTGTTTATGGTGTTAGAGAGTGTTCTGATTTCATTCTTTTATATGTAGCTGTCCAGTTTTCCAAGCACCACTTACCGAAGAGACCGTCTTTTTCTCCATTGTATATTCTTGCCTTGTTTTTTGTAGATTAATTGACCATAAGTTTGTGTGTTTATTTCTGGGCTTTCTATCCTGTTCCATTGATCTATATTTCTGTTTTTGTGCCAATACCATACTGTTTTGACTGTAGCTTTGTAGTAGAATCTGAAGTCAGGTAGCGTGATTCCTCTGCCTCTTTTTTTATTTCTCAAGATTGCTTTGGCTCTTAGGGGTCTTTTGTGTTTCCATAAAAATTTTAAAATTATTTGTTCTAGTTCTGTGAAAAATGCCATTGGTAATTTTGCCATTGGTATTTTGTTGAATCTGTAGATTGTCTTGCATAGTATGGTCATCTTAACAATATAGATTCTTCCAGTCCAAAACACAGTATATCTTTCCATCTGTTTGTGTTGTCTTCTATATCTTTTATCAGCATCTTATAGTTTTCAGAGCACAGGTCTTTGCCTCCTTAGGTAGGTTTATTCTCAGGTAGTTTATTCTTTTTGGTGCTGCAGTTAATGGGATTGTTTCTTTAATTTCTCTTCTGGTATTTCCTTGTTCATGTATAGAAATGCAACAGATTTCTGTAAAGTAATTTTGTACACTGCAAATTTATGGAATTCATTAATGAACTCTAGTAGCTTTCTGGTGGTGTCTTTGGGATTTTCTATGTATACTTCATGTCATCTGCAAACAGTGAGAGTTTTACATCTTCTTTTCCAATTTGGATTCCTTTAGTTTCTTTTTCCTGTCTGGTTTGTGTGGCTAGGACTTCCAAAACTATGTTGAATAAAAGTGGGCATTCTTGTCTTGTTTCTGAACTTAGTGGAAATGCTTTCAGCTTTTCACTGTTGAGAATGATGGTAGCTGTGAGTTTGTCATATATGGCTTTATTAGGTTGAGATATGGTCCCTCTGTGCCCACTTTCTGAAGAGTTTTTGTCATAAATCAATGTTGAATTTTATCAAAAGCTTTTTCTGCATCTATTGAGCTGATCATGTGGTTTTTATTCTTCAGTTTGTTAATGTGACATATCACATTGACTGATTTCCGAATATTGAAAAATCCTAGCATCCCTGGGATAAATCCCCTTGATCATGGTGTATGATCATTTTAATGTATTTTTGGAGTTGATTTGATAGTATTTTGTTGAGGAATTTTGCATCTGTGTTCATCAGTGATATTGGCATGTAAATTTCTTTTTTTTTTTTTTTATGATATCTTTATCTGGTTTTGGTGTCAGGGTGATGGTGGCCCCATAGAATGAGTTTGGAAGTGTTCCTTCCCCTGCAATTTTTTCTGGAATAGTTTCAGAGAATGGGTGTTAAACCTCCTCTAAATGTTTGGTAGAATTCACCTGTGAGGCCGTCTGGTCCTGGACTTTAAAGTTTTAGAGTTTCTGGTTCAGTTTCAGTACTGGTTCATATTTTCTATTTCCTCCTGGTACAGTCTTGGTACCTTCCTAAGAATTTGTCCGTTTCTTTGTCCATTTTATTGGTGTATAGTTGCTTGTAGTAGTCTCTCATGGTCCTTTGTATTTCTCTGGTGTCAGTTGTAACTTCTTTTTTATTTCTAAGTTTATTGATTTGAGTCCTCTCCCTTTTTTTTCTTGATGAGTCTGGCTAAAAGTTTGTCAATTTTATCTTTTCAAAGAGCCAGCTTTTAGTTTCATTGATCAATAGGGAAGCATTAACGACTTTCTTACATGGTTGGGGGGGGGGCGGTTTCCTAAAGTGGACAAGTCAATATTTAAATTTAATTCAGAAGGAAACCACGCCAAATGACGACTGTTTTCTTTTTATGGCTGTTCCTATTTGCCTTATATATTGAGGTGCACCTATGTTGGGTGCATATATATTTACAATTGTGATATCTTCTTCTTGGATTTAACCCTTGATTGTTATGTAGTGTCTTGTCTTTCGTAACAGTCTTTATTTTAAAGTCCATTTGTCTGATATGAGTATTGCTACTCCAGCTTTCTGCTGATTTCCATTTGCATGAAATACCTTTTTTCAACTTCTCACTTTCGGTCCGTGTGTGTGTCCCTATATCTGAAGTGGGTCTCTTGTAGACAGTGTATATAAGAGTCTTGTTTTCGTTTCCATTCAGCCAGTCAGTGTCTTTTGGTTGGAGCATTTACTCTGTTTATGCTTAAGGTAATTATGGATATGTATGTTCTTATTGCCATTTTATTAATTGTTTGGGGTTTGTTTTTGTAGGTCATTTTTCTTCCCTTCCTCTTTTTCTCATCTCTTCTGATTCGATGATGAATTTTAGTGCTGTGGTTGGATTACTTCTTCGTTTTTGTGTGTGTATCTATTGTAGATTTTTGGTCTGAGGTTACCATAGGTTTTGATGTAGCAGTCTGTATATAAACAAGACTGTTTTAAGTTGCTGGTCTTTCCATTTCAAATGCATTCCATTGTCCTGCATTTGTGCTCTTTTCTTCTCATGATTGCTGGTTTTGCCATCATACTTGTTTGTGGATGATTTCCTATGTTTACTGTATGTTCGCCTTTACCAGTGAGATTTTCCATTCATCATTTTCTTGTTTCTAGTTGTGGCCTTTTCGTTTCTGCCTAGAGAAGTTCCTCTAGCATTTGTTGCAGAGCTGGTCCGGTGGTGCTGAATTCTCTTAGCTTTTGCTTGTCTGTAAACTTTTGATTTCTCCATTGAATCTGCATAAGAGCCTCTGCTGGCTAGAGTGTTCTCGGTTGTAGGTTCTTACCTTTCATCACGTTAAAGACATCACGCCACTCTCTTCTGGCCTACAAAGTTTCTGTTGAGAAATCAGCTGGTACCCTTATGGGAATTCCCTTGCATGTTATTTGTTGCTTTTCCCTTGTTGCTTTTAATATTTTTTCTTTGTCCTTAATTTTTGTCAATTTGATTACTGTGTGTCTTGGCGTGTTCCTCCCTGGGTTTATCCTGCCTGGGACTCTCTGTGCTTCCTGACAACTGTTCATTTTAGGTCAACTTGAAAGAGCCATATTGATTCCCACCAGGACCAAACGCTGCAGCTCATTCATATGCTGGGAAAATACTAACTGTGATGGAAATGTTTACATACACGAGGATGGCGAGAATGACAGTGACATAAACTTTGTAGTTCCTTAAAGGACCTGATGACCTTACAAGGATGGGGCTTGGAATGCTGGTAAATTGTTCCACAGCAATAGAAAATGGATACAGGGTATTTATGATACCGTCCTAATGAGATCCCATTCTTGTACCTATTACATATACATGCATAGAAAACATCTAAAAGGATAGATATAAATGCTGGGGGTGAGACACCAGTGGCTTTTACTTTATTCCTTATACTTACTGGGTTGTTTGAAAAAAATTAAGTGAGCATATATTTAATAATCAGATGGGGAAAATAAAGATCTTAAAGGTGAGAAAGAAAATCATTAAACGTATATCCTAAGTACCTCAAAGGAGTCTAGTAGATTGAAATTACGTAACGGATAAGAATGTGCTTTTGAAAGTTGTGTAGTTTCATAAAAATACAATGTAGTACATTTTTCTCAGCCCTTAATCTCTCTTCCCTACTTAGAATTAATAGGCAGACGATTAGGTATATTTAGATTCAGAATTTTATTTTAAATGGATTTCTGTGCCATAACATAATGTCTGTGATACTCTTACTAAGAATTATGTGTAACGGTCAAATTCTAACAATTTTTGCAACAAGCTCTTATTACATTTTCCTCAAAATAGGAAAAGTTCACATTACATACCATTTTGAACATGATTGTTTGCTTACAAATAATTTACTGTAAAAATGTTATTTTCAAAGAAAATTTATGGGAAATGATAAAGCAACTACAAAAATCTTTACAATAAAATCCAGAATAAAAATATTTTTTTGTGGGTTAAAAATTTATCAACATGTATAGGTGGATTATAAATATATTTTGGCAATCTGATGCATTCAAGGGCACTTTAAAAGTTGTCTAGTTAAATTACTACAGATATGACGTGTTTGATGAAACCCAATCTGTAAATCTGACACCAACAATCATTTCTTCCTGCCAAAACATAGAAATAATTTATCTGAAAACTGTGAGTGCTATGAAGAGTTCGATTTCTTCATAAAGATTCCTTTATAAGTTGGGCTAATCCCTGGAAGGCCTAAAAGCGAACAGAGAGAAGAATTAATAAAATTAGGATGCTGTTTAGGAAATGTCTGTCATAACTTGAGAAATTTAAACAAAGAGTATCCATCTTAGGTTGAGATCAGACGGTGAAAAGTCAGGATTAACCTCAGTTTTATCTGGGTCAGAGGCCGTCGTGTCCGCTAATATACGTAGCCGGAAGCATATCAGAGGCCCAGGAAAGTTTTCAAATCCTTATTCCCTCAAGATCATCATCTTCTCCCAGAACACGACTTATTTTTTTCATATACTCTCTCACCTGCACATGCCTTCTGTAGAGTTTCTGTTGTCCAGTTCTACGCGTATATAACTTATGAAAAGCATATTTAATGACATGAGAAAGCAAGTCAATCAAGAACACACCCGGAGACAACCCATCTCCAAGGATAAGTATACACTCTTCTTACACTTCCTGGACTCTTCAGTTTATGGCGCTTTTGTGGGTTCCCGACACACAGTTCTTAAGAACTTGCTTCTTGGTTTCCTGTAATCCTGGTTAAAGCTGGACTTTGTGATAAAGCAATTACTTAACTCTAATCATTAGTATTATTCTATTTGACCCTTCCTCAAGAGATAAAGACAGATGGCTTCATGAATTTGTACTATGGCTCACGTTAATTCTATGAAGGAGTGAAAGAGGTTCTCTTTTTAACGTGTTGATAATTTGCCAACACTGTTGAGCAGGTCTGACATGTATTCATGAAACCAATAAAATTCAACTCCAATTTGGTCACGTCATTTGTCTATAGAAGCCTGGCAACTTCTCTGAATGGTAGTTTGTGACTTTCCAACTAATACCCATTTTGCAGAAACCCAAGAAGATATCAAATAATGTTGTAACTCACAAAATGAACACAAAAAATAAATGGATAACTAGTTTTACTCTAAAGAGAATATTGTACTCACCATGTCCATCTGCTCTGGAGAAGCTAAAGAGAAGGATGCTCTGAAGTAGGGGCAAGGAGCTGAACTATCAAGGTAGAAATGATATCCAGGAAGCATGAATATCTAAGAGAGTTTATGGAAAACAGGTGATGTACCATTAAAGAAAACTAAAAGAAAATATAGGTGAATCTAATCTCCAAGTGGAGGATGACTTTTAAACTTAAAAAGCAATGAAAGAAATCACAAGAGAAAAATCAATTTATATAAAATTACTGCATGTCATATAATAAAACTAAAAGCATAGAAACCAGTGTTTACATAAATACAGCAATTCTACCTCTTCTCCATATATTATAAAGAATGCACAGAAACAGAGGAAAAACCTTAAAATGGACAAGGACAGCTTATTCAAGAAACAGAAATGGTAATAAACATGAATAAATGTTTAACATAACTAGAAAAGTAAAATAAATCCAAACAATGAAATATCATTTAAAAAATATTTTATTTTATTTCATTTTTTAAAGTTAAACTGTAGGTGATTTACAATGTTGTGTTAGTTTCGGGTATACAGAATAGTGATTCAGTTATACATATGTGTATATGTATATGTATATCAATCTATGTATCTTTTCTTTTTCATATTCTTTTCCCTTATAGGTTATTATAAAGTATTGAGTATAGTTCCCTGTGCTTGTTGGTACCTTGTTGGTTATCTATATTATACATAGTAGTGTATATATATGTTAATCCCAAACTCCTAATATATGCCTTCCTCCCTTCCCCCTCTGGTAACCATAAGTTTGTTTTCTATGTCTGTGGGTCTATTTCCATTTTGTCAATAAGTTCATTTGTATAATTTTTTTAGATTCCACATATAGTGATATCATCTGATATTTGTTTTTTTTCTGTCTGACATCACTTTGTGTGATAATCTCTAGGTCTATCCATGTTGCTGCAAATGGTATTATTTCATTCTTTGTTTATGGCTGAATAATATTCCATTGGATATTGGTACCACATCTTCTTTATCTATTCATTTTTCGATGAACATTTAGTTTCCATGTCTTGGCCATTGTAAATAGTGCTGCAATGAAACATTGGGGTGCATGTATCTCTTTGAATTATACCTTTCTCCATATATGTATTCCCAGGAGTGGGATCCCTGGATCATATGGTAACTCTATTTTTAGTTTCTTAATGAACCTCCATACTGGTTGCACCAATTTAAATTCCCACCAGTAGTGTACGAGGGTTCCCTTTTCTCCACACCCTCTCTAGCATTTATTATTTGTAGACCTTTTGATGATGGGCATTCTGTCTGGTATGAGGTGATACCTCATTGTAGTTTTGATTTGATTTTCTCTAATAACTAGCGATATTGAGCATCCTTTCATGTGCCTGTTGACCATCTGTATGTCTTCTTTGGAGAAATGTCTTTTTAGGTCTTCTGCCCAATTTTGGATTGGGTTATTTGTGTTTTTTTTTTCTTTATATTGCGCTGTATGAGCTGTTTCTATACTTTGGAAATTAATCCTTTGTCTGTCACATCATTTGCAAATATTTGTTCCCACTCTGTAGGTTGCCTTTTTGTTTTCTTTATGGTTTCATTTGCTGTGCAAAAGCTTATAAGTTTAACTAGGTCCCATTTATGTATTTATTTTTTATTTCCATTACTCTGGGAGACAGAGCAAAAATGATATTGCTATGATTTATGTCAAAGAGTGTTCTGACTGTTTTACTCTAGGAGTTTTATAATATCCAGTCTTATATTTAGGTCTGTAAACCATTTTGAGTTTATTGTTGTATATGATCTTTGAGAATGTTCTAATTTCATTCTTTGACATGTAGCTGTACTGTTTTCCTAGCATCCTTTATTGTAGAGACTGTCTTTTCTCCATGGTATATTCTTGCTCCTTTGTCATAGATTAATTGACCATAGGTGTGTGGGTTTATTTCTGGGCTCTCTATACTGTTCCATTGATCTATATTTCTGTTTTTGTGCCACTACAATACTGTTTGGATTACTGCAGCTTTGTAGTGTAGTCTGAAGTCAGGGAATGTGACTCCTTCAGCTCCGTTCTTCTTTCTCAAGACTGCTTTGGCTGTTAGGGGACTTTTGTGTTTCCATACAAATTTTAAAATTATTTGTTCTAGTTCTGTGAAAAATGACCTTGGTAATTTGATAGGGATTGCACTGAACCTGTAATTGGCCTTGGATAGTAAAGTCATTTTGACAAAATTGATTCTTCCAATCCAAGAACATGGTGTATCTTTCCATCAGTTTGTGTTGCCTTCAATTTCTTTCATCAGCATTTTATAAGTTTCCAATTACAGGTCTTTTGCCTTTTTAGGTAGGTTTATTCCTAGGTATTTTATTCTTTTAGATGTGATGGTAAATGGGATTTTTTCCTTAATTTCTCTTTCTGATCTTTTGTTGTTAGTGTATAGAAATGCAACAAATTTCTGTGTATTTATTTTGTATCATTCAACTTTACCAAATTCATTGATGAGCTCTAGTAGTTTTCTGGTGGCATCTTTAGGATTCTCTATGTATAGCATCATCTGCAAACAGTGACAGTTTTACTTCTTCTTTTCCACTTTCGATTCCTTCTATTTCTTTTTCTTCTGTGATTGCTGTGTCTAGGTCTTCCAAAACTTTGTTGAATAAAAGTGGTGAGTGTGGGCATCCTTGTCTTGCTCCCGATCTTAGAGGAAATACTTTCAGATTTTCGCTGTTGAGTATGATGTTAGCTGTGGGGTTTTCATATATAGCCATTATTATGTTAAGGTGTATTCCCTCTATACCTACTATCTGGAGAGTTTTTATCATAAATGGATGTTGAATTTTATCAAAAGCTTTTTTGTCTCTATTGAGATGATCATATGGTTTTTATTCTTCAATTTGTTAACGTGGTGTGTCACACAGATTGATTTGTGGATATTGAAAAAAACTGCAAAAAATGCAAACATGTGGAGGCTAAACAATATGCTACTAAACAACCAATGAATCATGGAAGAAATTAAAGAGAAAATCAAAAAATACCTAGAGATAAATGAAAATGAAAACATGATGATCCAAAACCTATGGGACGCAGCAAAAGTAGTTCTAAGAGGGAAGTTTATAGTAATACAGTCGTACCTTGGGAAACAAAAAATCTCAAATAAACAACCTAACCTTACACCTAAAGCAAAGACAGAAAGAAGAACAAACCAAACCCATAGTTAGTAGAAGGAGAGAAATCATAAAGATCAGAGCAGAAATAAGTAGAGACTAAGAAGACAATAGAAAAGATCAATGAAACTAAAATGGAACCTGGGTCTCTGACTCACGGCAGGAGCAGAGGAGGTTATAGACCACGTCTTTGAAAACTGTGTGTGAGTCAGAACTAAGCTGGGTTGTGTTAAGTCTTTGAGATTGTTGTCTAGTAAAATCACGACATTCAGAACTTTAAGAAACTGCTTGTTTTTTCATGGTGTAAATCTGGCCCCTGGTTGTTGAAGTTAGGTGAGCTGGGAATGAAATGATTTGGGGGCATTCTGGGGAGAAAATTTCAAGGCAGAAGATGAGTTTTTTTTTTTTTTTTGTCCTGATTAACAATGAAATGAAAACCATAATTTCTACAATTAATGTGGAACAGCTTAGGGATGTGCCAGAAGCAAGTTTCTGTAGAGAAGGAGGAGATGGTAATAATCTCCTTGCAAGATGACCAAAATTTGGGCTAAGGCAGCAGTGATAGAGATTACTTAGAAAAGGTAAAGGTACATGCAACAGGGTATATGGAATAAAAGAAAGGGACTGAAAAAAAAATGACAATAAATATGAAGTCTGTATCCTTAGCTCTTAGTTCAGGGATACACACATCAAATGTTCTGGAGAATAATGGCATTGATAAGAAAGCAAAAAGAAAAAAGTAATAAAATTGATTTATTGTACTAAAATGCACTTATATGAGTTAAGTCATTTAAGTATTTATTAAGCACTTTCTATGTGCTGTTATTAGCATTAAAACAATTAATAAAGCATGAGTCCTGTGGTCAAGTATGATGATTACAGGGAATGAGTGACTTTCCCAGGGGAGTGGATTGGCTCTCGGGTCCAGGCAGCCAGTTCCCAGCTCTGACCTCTAGACTGTCTCTTATGCTCTAGCACAGGAGTTTGCCAACAACAATATGATCTGTTCTTTGTACTCACTGCCTCAAGACAGTGAGTAACAGAATTTGGTGTTTACAAAAGAGTGACGAACATGATAAAGGAATTAATTAATGGAGAACGGTTGACTGATTTTGTAAATTGGAAAGCTACACAGAAGCATATTTAGATGTCTCAGCTTAATTAGTGCCTCTGAATGAAATCTAAGTAGACTTATGATTTAAGTACAAATGGAGAAAAAAAACCTAGAAGAAATCCTTGTGGGCTAATTTTAAGTGAAAAAAAAGAGGATATAAACTTTGCTGTGTAATTTTAATCATGTAACATAATTGCAGAGCATTATTTTAAAAAAACCCAGACTAAAAAATGGGCAGAAGACCTGAATAGATGTTTTTCCAGAGAAGAAATGCAGATGAACAACAGGTACATGAAAAGATGCTAAACATCACTAATCAACAGGGAAATGCAAATCAAAACCACAAAGAGATATCACCTCACACCTGTAAATATGGATATTAACAAAAAGAACACAAATAACAAGTGTTGGCGAGGATGTGGAGAATAGGGAACCCTTCTCCACTGTTGGTGGGAGTGCAAATTGGTGCAGCCACTATTGAAAACAATATTGAGGTTCCCAAAAATCTAAAAATAGAGCTACCATATGATGCAGCAATCTACTCCCAGGTATATATCCGGAAAAAAGAAAAAACTAATTTGAACAGATACATGCACCCCAATATGCATTTCAGCATTATTTATAATAGCCAAGATATAGAAACAACCTAGGTGTCCATCAACAGATGAATGGATAAAGAAGATGTGGTATGTGTGTACACACACACACACACACACACACACACACACACACACACAATGGAATACTACTCAGCCATAAAAAAGAATGAAGTCCTGCCATTTGTGACATGAATGGACTTGAGGGGTATTATGCCTCGTGAAATAAGTCAGAAAAAGAGAAATAACATGTTATCACATATATGCAAAATCTAAAAAAATAAAATGAATAAGTACAACAAAAAGAAACAGACTCACAGATAATACAGAACAAACCAGTTGTTACCAGTGGGAAGAGGGAAGGGAGGAAGGACAAAATGAGGGTAGAGGATTAAGAGGTACAAACTATTATGTATAAAATAAAGAAGATACAGGATTTATTATACAGCACAGGGAATACAGCCAATATTTTATAATTACTTTAAATGGAGTCTAATCTTTAAAAATACTGAATCACTATGTTATATACCTGAAACTAATGTAATATTATAAATCAACTATAATAAAAAATAATTTCATAGCCAAAATACTAGATATATACAACCTCTTCAAGAAAATGTATCACAAGTGGTCATAAAATCTGTATCACAAGTGGTCATAAAATCTGGGTGGTAAAATTATGGGCTATTTAAAAATTTTTCATTATGCTTTAATGAAGTATAATGCTATCATGAGTATGCTTTACTTTCATAATCAGGAAAAAAAAATCCTTCTATTGTAAATACTAATGGCTTATATTTATCAAGCATTTACTCTATGCCAGGTATTAGTCTAAGTGCTTTATCCATATTGACTGCTTTCATCATAGCAACCCTAAGAGGGAGGGATTCTTATTATCTGCATTTTCCAGATGAAACTCAGGAAGGGCAGCTCATCCAGTGTCACATATCGGGGCAGGGCTGGAGCTGGGATTCACACCCAAGGACATGGCTCCAGAGACTGTGCTCTTAGTCACTAAGCTAATCAGTAGCTGAGCTGAATGACTGTATTTCCCCTGGTTTAGTCTAGGAGACTAATTCTGTAACCCAATCTATTATGATCTTAGTAAGGAGATAATGTATCTGATAGGCAAACATTATGCCTTGGGTTGGCGGGCAGTGATAAACATCTCTCGCCATTTTTATTAAGATATTACTTTAAAGAAAAAATATAGCTTCTCCTGTTTTACCTCTTTCTTAAAGGCTTTCTCTTCAATCAGTTTTCTTATATCATGAAGGCCCTTAATTTTAACCCATAAAAACATACCAGCAGTAGGAGCATGCCATTCTGCCAAACCTACAAACAAAAGAAGAGAAGAAATGTTTCCCGAGACCATTTTTGATGATGTCAGCTATATCGCTGAAATGACAAATTGCAGTAACTGTAAACTAGTATTTCCAAAAAAGTTCCTTTGGTGATAGCATTTTTAAAAAATATAGTTTTAGGAGTCCTGAAAATTGGTGTTCTGAGTTTTATTTTAAAAAGTGAGGGGAGGGTTTGAAAGGGAGAGAGGGGACTCGTGTATATTTCTGATTTTAGTGGGTCTCAGGGCAGTGCAGGAAATCCAGTGCCATGCCCACCTCCCTTTCTTAGAACTGTCCCTAAGCCAAGCGTGACTCTTTCAATTTTAGAAGAGGATTCCTCAACCCTTTCTAGAGTCTTCTAGTGTCTCAATAAATCCTATCGTTTACATAATCGTTCAGAAGTCCAATGAATTGAAGTTTTTATTGCAATGTAATTAAGATGTACTTAAAATTCAGGAATTCCTGGTGTATTTGTAGGCTTTATATTTCATTGAATATAAGGATAGAGAAACTAAGAAGAAACAAGAGTTATTTTGATTTTGATTATTACCTTTAAAAAAAAAACCTTGATGTTGATTAAAACCTTTTTTTCAACTTCACTATAGGAAATGGTAGAATAGTACTCTTATCAAAAAGATAGTAATTGTGTTTTTACCAGGACTACATAGGGAACAAGATACGAGGGAAGTAAGAAGTGAATACTTTGTATTTACCATTAGTCCTACAAAAGGCATTTTTAGTGGTGTAATTAAAGCTGGGTAATTCATTTTACTTTCTTCCTTAATAGAAAGGTAAGCTGTGACAAAGCGAGAGAGAGGCATGGACATATATACACTACCAAACGTAAGGTAGATAGCTAGTGGGAAGCAGCCGCATAGCACAGGGAGATCAGCTCGGTGCTTTGTGGCCGCCTGGAGGGGTGGGATAGGGAGGGAGACGCAAAAGGGAAGAGATATGGGAACATATGTATATGTATAACTGATTCACTTTGTTATAAAGCAGAAACTAACAAAAAAAAAGTAATTGAAAAATAAAAAAAAACAACAAAAAAAATCTAAAGCATTCTGAAATCAAATTAGCAATAGAAATACTACTGATTAATGAGGTTAATGATTAAAAGGCAAATCATCTGTAATGAGAAATCCACCTTAGACTGTACTTAGTTTGTACTATTGTACTGTTTTGTCTTTATAGAGTCTAGTTAGAAAAGGAATATGTTATGTCACAATTCCTGTTCTATTTGGAGCAAAATTTTGAAAACTTTTTGAGTACAGATATTATTTAGCTTTAAGTAGATTATTGCTGGTGTTAGACTAATTGGCCATTTTTCTTTAAACCACAGATTCTTTGTAGCAGTCAAGTATAGTAGAAATGCGTAGAATCGTGCCAGGGTTTGTGCTGTTACTTCTGAGATTATTTATAAGGTAACATTTTCTTGACAAGAATACTCCTGGACCCTGTTTCCTTCCCCAGGGTTATTAACAATACTCTGTGGTGTGTATCACTCACTCATATAAGGGCTACTGTTCATCCCAGGACAGGATGTAAGTTCCACTCACCACTTAACCACTTGTCTGCAGCTGCCAATAATGCATCCCTCTGCTTCCTATAGAAATCAATAACCCTAAAAGAACAATAAAATGAAAAGGATGTGTTTAGTACATTGATTGCAGAAATTAAAAGGCTCTGAAGTCCAGTCTGTAAGAATCCATTTTCTATCTTGATGAAAATGTTGAATTCTTGATGAGGGAATAAAGCATATTTATTTGACCTGTTGGGTGGTAAATTTTTTACCATTGTGGTTTTTCCATATTTTTGGAATAATTCAAAAATGAAAATTAATAGAGTGAAGTCCATGTCTATGTAAAGTATGGAACCTAAATACAGTACCTGTCTACGTGAGCCAGGAAGCCCTCTTCTCCCCATTGGTGTAGAAGCTGTGATACCAGGAGCTACACAGGAGGAGACAGTAATAAGGTCATCATGCATCCTCTAAAATGTGTTTTTTGCCCAAACATAAAAGCAAACCACTCTTGATCACGTGCAAACCACCCTAAGAGGATGCTACAGGCTGTATCAAGCTTTGTAGAGCCAGCGATTTATAATAAGGTTGATTATTAACAATGACAAGAATAATAGTAAAAATAACAAAATATTTATATGGTCCTTCCTATGTGCTGGAAACTGCTGTACCATATGAACGTATTTCAGCTAAGTTGACCTTCCTTATTAGGCAGGTCATGATTTCTAATATACTGAGGAAGAGACTGAGGCATGAGGTGAAGTTGACTTTCCTGAGGTCACTGCTCCTCAAGGAGCCTGGACTTAAGTCAGACTGTCCAGTCCGAGATCCAACCCATAACTGCCACCCTGGATGGTCTCTAAATATAAAACACATACAGTCGCAGAGGGTTTCTACAGGCGTGTGCTCCGTTCACCATGTTTCTGTTTGGCTGAAGGCTTCCCTGAGCTGTGTGGCTGACAGGGTCTTGGTGCTCTGGTCTGTTGTCAGGCCTGAGCCTGTGAGGTGGGGGAGTCAAGTTCAGGTCATTGGACCACCAGAGACTTCCCGGCTGCACGTGATATCAATTGGCAAGAGCTCTCTCAGAGATCTCTGTCTCAATGCTGAGACCCACCTCTGCCCAATGGCCAGCAAGCTCTAGTGCTGGACGCCCCATGCCAAACAACTAGTAAGACAGGGGCACAATTCCTCTCGTTAGCAGAGAGGCTGCCTAAAATCATACTAAGTTCAATCTCACCTCAAGAAACAAGAAAAATCTCAAGTAAACAAGAAGAAAACAATAGCAAAGATCAATAAAACTGAAAGCTGGTTCTTTGAGAAGATAAACAAAATTGATGAACCACTAGACAGACTCATCAAGAAAAAGAGGGAGAGGACTCAAATCAACAGAATTAGAAATGAAAAAGGAGAAGTAGCAACTGACACGGCAGAAATACAAAGAATCATGAGAGATTACTGCAAGCAACTCTATGCCAATAAAATGGACAACCTGGAAGAAATGGAAAAATTCTTAGAAAGGTATAACCTTCCAAGACTGAACCAGGAAGAAACAAAATATGAAGAGACCAATCACAAGCACTGAAATTGAAACTGTGATGAAAAATCTCCCAACAAACAAAAGCCCAGCACCAGATGGCTTCACAGGTGAATTCTTTCAAACCTTTAGAGAAGAGCTAACACCCATCCTTCTCAAACTCTTCCCAAATATAGCAGAGGGAGGAACACTCCCAAACTCATTCTACAAGGCCACCATCACCCTGTTACCAAAACCAGACAAAGATGTCACAAAAATAGAAAACTGCAGGCCAATATCACTGATGAACATGGATGCAAAAATCCTCAACAAAATACTAGCAAACAGAACCCAACAGCACATTAAAAGGATCATACACCATGATCAAGTGGGGTTTATCCCAGGAATGCAAGGATTCTTCAATATACGCTAATCAATCAATGTGATAAACCATATTAACGAACTGAAGGATAAAAACCATATGATCATCTCAATAGATGCAGGAAAAGCTTGTGACAAAATTCAACACCCATTTATGATAAAAACTCTCCAGAAAGTAGGCATAGAGGGAACTTACCTCAACATAATAAAGGCCATATACGACAAACCCACAGCCAACATCATTCTCAATGGTGAAAAACTGAAACCATTTCCTCTAAAATCAGGAACAAGACAAGGATGCCCACTCTGACCACTATTATTCAGCGTACTTTTGGAAGTTTTAGCCACAGCAAGCAGAGAAGAAAAAGAAATAAAAAGAATCCAAATTGGAAAAGAAGAAGTAAAGCTCTCACTGTTTGCAGATGACATGATACTATACATAGAGAATCCTAAAGATGCTACCAGAAAACTATTAGAGCTCATCAATGAATTTGGTAAAGTAACAGTATACAAAATTAATGCACAGAAATCTCTGGCATTCCTATACACTAATGATGAAAAATCTGAAAGTGAAATCAAGAAAACACTCCAATTTACACTCCTAGGAATAAACCTACCTAAGGAGACAAAAGACCTGTATGCAGAAAGCTATAAGACACTGATGAAAGAAATTAAAGATGATACAAACAGATGGAGAGATATACCATGTTCTTGGATTGGAAGAATCAACATTGTGAAAATGACTACGCTACCCAAAGCACTCTACAGATTCAATGCAATCCCAATCAAACTACCAATGGCATTTTTCAGAGAACTAGAACAAAAAATTTCACAATGTGTATGGAAATACAAAAGACCCCGAATAGCCAAAGCAATGTGAGAAAGAAAAACAGAGCTGGAGGAACCAGGCTCCCTGACTTCAGACTATACTACAAAGCTACAGTAATCAAGACAGTATGGTCCTGGCACAAAAACAGAAATATAGATCAATGGACCAGGATAGAAAGCCCAGAGATAAACCTATGCACATATGTCACCTTATCTTTGACAAAGGAGGCAAGAATATACAATGGAGAAAAGACAGCCTCTTCAATAAGTGGTGCTGGGGAAACTGGACAGCTACATATAAAAGAATGAAATTAGAACACTTCCTAACACCATACACAAAGATAAACTCAACATGGATTAAAGACCTAAATGTAAGGCCAGACAGTATAAAACTCTTAGAGGAAAACATAGGAAGAACACTGTTTGACATAAATCACAGCAGGATCCTTTTTGACCCACCTTCTATAGAAATGGAAATAAAAACAAAAATAAACAAATAGGACCTAATGAAACTTAAAGCTTTTGCACAGCAAAGGAAACCATAAACAGGACAAAAGGACTACCCTCAGAATGGGAGAAGATATTTGCAAATGGAGCAACTGACAAAGGATTAATCTCCAAACATACAAGCAGCTAATGCAGCTCAATATCAAAAACAAACAAACAAACAACCCAATCCCAAAATGGGCAGAAGACCTAAATACATATTTCTCCAAAGAAGATATACAGATTGCCAACAAATACATGAAAGGACGGTCAACATCACTAATCATTAGAGAAATGCAAATCAAAACTACAATGAGGTATCACCTCACACCAGTCAGAATGGCCATCATCAAAAAATCTAGAAACAAGAAATGCTGGAGAGGGTGTGGAGAAAAGGGAACCCTCTTGCACTGTTGGTGGGGATGTAAATTGATACAGCCACTATGGAGAACAGTATGGAGGTTCCTTAAAAAACTACAAATAGAACTACCATATGACCCAGCAATCCCACTACTGGGCATATACCCTGAGAAAACCATAATTCAAAAAGACATGTACCACAATGTTCATTGCAGCTCTATTTACAATAGCCAGGACATGGAAGCAACCTAAGTGCCCATCGACAGATGACTGGATAAAGAAGATGTGGCACATATATACAATGGAATATTACTCAGCCATGAAAAGAAATGAATTTGACTTGTTTGTAGTGAGGTGGATGGACCTAGCGTCTGTCATACAGAGTGAAGTAAGTCAGAAAGAGAAAAACAAATATCGTATGCTAACACATATATATGGAATCTAAAAAAAAAAATGTTCTGAAGAACCTAGGGGCAGGACAGGAATAAAGATGCAGACATAGAGAATGGAATTGAGGACACGGGGAGGGGGAAGGCTAAGCTGGGACAAAGTGACAGAGTGGCATGGACATATATACACTACCAAATGTAAAATAGATTGCTAGTGGGAAGCAGCCGCACAGCACAGGGAGATCAGCTCAGTGCTTTGTGTCCACCCAGAGGGGTGGGATAGGGAGGGTCGGAGGGAGATGCAAGAGGAAGGGGATATGGGGATATATGTATGCATATAGCCGATTCACTTTGCTATACAGCAGAAACTAACACAACATTGTAAAGCAAGTATACTCCAATAAAGATGTTTAAAAAAAAATTAGTTCCAGAAATTGAACAAATGTTATGATCAATATAAAGAGATAAGTTGACAAACAAACAAACAACCCCCCCCACCAAAACACATACAGTCGATACATGAAGTTATACAATATATTCAGAGATTTTCTATCCAAAATGGAAGTACTAAATGTTGTAAATGGATAGTGAAATTTGGTTGATAACAGATACAGAAAATATGGAAAAAGTCCCCAACTTGATAAAACACGGGGACATGTGCACTTTGTGGAAGGTATAATATCAAAGAAATGTCCATTCTACATAAACTACCCCTTTTGAGTTGTTAGGTAGCAGTCCTGTCCTTATGGTTGTTTCTCCAGATTGCCTTAGGGATGGGTCCAGTCATTTCTCAAAGCTTGTGAAGAAATCTATACATTCACCATCAATAATTTTACCGTATTTAATTAAAATACATTCCAGCTGCTGTATGTAGGGAGCTTAGCACATGGGCAGTGAAGGGAGAGATCGGGCCACGATGCGGGTTTGGAACCCTTGCTCTCAGATTCCAGGACAACGAAGCTAATGATGTGTTACTTCACCAAACCTCTTCTGTCGTGTCCAACACAGTTTTCGTGGGATTCCTGGGCTAGATGCCAGGACACAACTGAATAAGATCTCTGACCCTCAAGGAGTTTGGTCTACACTGTGAAACAGCGTAGGTCCATTCAAATCTCTTTTGGCTTTTAGAGCAAACATCTGCTGTGCGTGGTCTCCTAATTCAGTCCATGCGGAACTAGAGATGCAATCAGTGATTTCTCTCCCTGCCATGTTCACTCAGTCTTATTTGCCAACATCTATTTTGTTTTATGATCGGATTCCAAAAAATTCCTATTTCCTAAGTTGTCCATACCTGGGCAAAAGTGCTGGGGTGCATTGTTGAAACTTGTATGTGTAAAACAATTCTCTCGATCAAGGGCTTTGGACCAGTTATAAACCCTATTCGCAACCTGCACAAAGAGAGAAAAGGCACAATACCAACCCTGCAATAACAATTAATACCATGTTAGTGATTTCATGGGGAAGAATTTTGTGACCTGGGGACAAATGGACCTAGACAGTTAACACATTCTAATAAAACAACTTCTTATTTAAAATACACATTTAAACTTAATTGTACACTTAAAATAGACCACATATTTCTAAATGTGCTCTTTCGTATATGTAACCAAAAACCTGACCAGTCCCCCTACAGCTATAAATTTAGTGGCCAAGTATCTTTGACCACTTGGAAGGATTGGTAGAAAAGCCTCTTATGAATAGATAAAATCAAACGGGAATACAAGTATCTTAAATGAGAACTGTTTGCAGTAAAAGATGCTGAGGTGCAGCCTCTGTCACCTTTAGATGCAGCCTGAAGGCACGGCCAGGGCCTTACCCAGAGGACAGGACTTTGGAAAAAGAGTCAGCTCGGATGACACGCCCATCAACGTCCATGGAGAGAAAAGTCGGTGCCCAGGGCTTGAAATGGAAGAAAAATACTGTTGGTTTGGGAAGTCTGTTAGAGACCGTATCCCTACTTTGTGCAGAGAGTGGGGAGGAATGGATTTGGAGAACAGTAGGACAAACATCCTTTTTCTTGTCTTCCTCTCAGCCCTTTGAAATGGAGTAAGAACCAGAGATGCACGTTCTTCTATTCGTATCTGCCGATCTCCCCGGCTTTTCTGCCAAACACACACACACGTCCTCGCACTTGCTCACGATGCCACTCCCGTGAGTTTAGAGGAACCGCACACAAGACCTCCTTGTCCCAAGGCTTGAGATCCAGGATGAACAGATTTCGAGGAAGGATTCAAGAAAAACTAGTTTGGAAAAGACCGAAACGAAGAGGGCCGTCAGCATTCAGGGCTGTTTAGGAAGAGATGCTGAGCCTTAGACCAACTAGAAACACAGCAAAGGTGCAAGTGAGGACGAGCAGTGCAGTCGGTCTGCAATGCTGAAACGTCCATGTTTACTTCAGACGTAAATGCCAACAAGAAAGGGGGCCGTGGTCGTGTTGAAGGTGCGCGGCAGGCAGACATGGTATCCAGGCAAACTAGATAAAAAGCCAAGAGTTCTGTTTCTTCTCCGTAGAAATAGAGTGGGGACTGAGTGCACGTGTTTGTAATGTGCAGCCCTGAGAGCAAATACTGTGTTGGATTTTGCGGAATTGGGCACTGGGAGTCTGTACCACTACCGTTGTCTCCTAGGAAACCATGCTCGTGGACAGAGGTGTACATATGTAGTGGGAAAGGATCTAAAAGCCCATGATTCTGCAGGAAAGTCCCTGACCCTAAGTGACAGGGATGGCGAGCGGGCAGCCTGATGCTCGGAACGCGCCTCCTCTGCCCACCGCCGCCTCAGGACCGAGCGCGGCCGTTCTCTTTCCGCCTGGACACGCCTCCCAAGTCCTCCGCCCGTCAGCCACCCCCGAGAGACTGAGGTTGACACCCAAGGAGACACCTACTCCCTAACCCTGGCACGATATCTAAGGAGCCACGACCCGGATTTGGAGTCCAGACGACCCTCACCCGTGACTCACTCGACCCTCCACGTGCCTGGCACAGGGAGCCAGCCGCTATTCTAAAGGTAAAGAGCAATAGCAGAGATGAAAATACTCGGCAGCCCGGCTAAACTCACATCAGCACAGTAACTTACGGCCACTTGTCTACCGATTGTGGGCTGAGTTGACACTGCACTTACCCTGTTGAACTGCATAAAATAGTAAGGATCGTCTTCTATGATGAGGAAGTCGTATTTTCTTGCGAGCTAAAAAAGGTTAAAGGAGCATGTTTATTTCTTCAGAGCGCTCGAAGATGAAAATCACTTGGAATCATAGTTCTTTGTACTCATTTATTCATTCATCCAAGAAGCGACTGAGGGTTCCGTGTCCTAGGAGGACAGGAGCCAGCCCTAAAAGCTCTGTCCTCAGGGAACTTACGATCTGGTGGGAAAGACAGAAGGAACGTGAGCCAGTGGATAGTGAACAGAGGATCTGGAGGGAGGTTTTGAGGGCTGGGCAGAAGGTTAATGAGGGTGATGTCTGAGAGAGAGAGAGTGACACGGAAGCTCCAGGAGAGCTCAGGCCGGCAGGAAGGACCAGGCGTGCAGATGACAGGGCAGAAGATTTTAGACTGAGGGCCCAGGAGCAAAGGCCCTGGGGGCCTTTGTTTAAGGGCATGTTTAAGGGATAGACGTTTATAGAAGGCATAGGTGTGTCAGGGACAGAAGGAACGCTGTGTAGCTGCAACAAGAAGGATGTGAGAGACCCTAGCCTGAGAACCGGCGCCCAGGTCGCATCATTGTGCGTGGCAGGTGAAGGACTCTGATCTTCTTTTAAGTGCAGAGAAGCAGCTGGAGGAGGGGCTGTAGGTCTACACTAGAGCAGGAAGGACGCCATGAGCTGGAGGCGGGAGCTGTGAGGAGGGGGACAGTCACGGGGTCCAGGAGGGCGGGCGGGCGGCCAAGGAGACGGTGGTTTGGATAACGTTGGTGGTGGGAGCCACGGGATGCATTGGAGGTGGGGATGAGGGGAAGACAGAAGGAAGAGAGGGGAGGAAGAGGTGAGTTTAACACTACACCAACAGTAACATCTCTTTCAACCAAATATCAATTAAAGGGAAAGGAAAACCTCATAGCAAGAGCGTAATAGTTTCTTGAGTTTAAATTTATGGGGACCCTTTTATTAAAAATCATCTTCCTTGGGCTTCCCTGGTGGCGAATGGTTGAGAGTCCGCCTGACGATGCAGGGGATGCGGGTTCGTGCCCCGGTCCGGGAAGATCCCACATGCTGCAGAGCGGCTGGGCCCGTGAGCCATGGCCGCTGAGCCTGCGCGTCCGGATCCTGTGCTCCGCAACGGGACAGCCCACAACAGTGAGAGGCCCGCGTACCGCAAAAAAAAAACCACAGAAAAACAAAAAAATAAAATCATCTTCCTTGAGAGCAAGAGGCTAATCAGAGAAGGAACTTGAGAGCACTCTTCTAAAGGGTCAGAAAGAAACAAGAACACAGCCACGGAACACATTCTTTGAAAATACCTCATAGATTTCCTTTTTGCGGTTAGTTGTTAATGAGCTCCCGGCAGGGTTGTTGCCATTTGGGACAGTATAAAGAAATTTGGGGGTGTTTTTCTCGGGGTTCTTTGAATCTTCTGGTTTCCATTTGAAAAGTATTTCTCTGAGGGAGTCTGGAATAATCCCATGTTCATCACTGGAAATGTTAATAATGTTGCAGCCCAGTGGTTGCACCTGTGGAGGACAGGAGAAAAGAAAACCCAAGACTCAGACGTGATACAAAATATCATAGTCGGGCTCCCCTGGTGGCGCAGTGCTTGAGGGTCCGCCTGCTGATGCAGGAGACGCGGGTTCGTGCCCCGTTTCGGGAAGATCCCACATGCCGCGGAGCGGCTGGGCCCGTGAGCCATGGCCGCTGAGCCTGTGCGTCCGGAGCCTGTGCTCCGCAAATGGGAGAGGCCACAACAGTGAGAGGCCCGCATAACGCAAGAAAAAAAAAAAAAATCATAGTCACTGGTTCTTACAGTAACGAAAATGTTACCATTTATACCCTTAAACACAAACCTGCACTCAGCCCTATACCCAAGGGCTGAGGTGGTATTTTCTGATTGCACTGTTGCCCTGGTTAAGCTTCCATTATGGTTCAAAAATATTCCCTGTCAATTCCTAGAGGAAGGGTAGACATCCCTGCTCATATATGTCAGGCTTGGCCAGGGGTCTGGCTTTGGTCAGTAAATTGCATGCAGAAGTGATGGGTGTTCCTTCCAAGCAGAAGCTTTAAATCCCAGCTTGGGTCTCTCGTTCCCTGTTCCCTCTGCTCTAAGACTGGCAGCAGTCCAGATGAGGCTGCTTCTGTCACTCGGGGGCCTGGGATGAAGACGGCATGGCACAGAGCTTGGTGGCCTGACCGTGGACACAGCGTGTGAGAGAAAGACAGGACTTTGCAGCCATAGGCCAGCGAGATAAGGAGTCAGCTATTCCACAGCCTCTTCTGACTGTATCATCTTTATAATTATGGTTAGAACTGCCTCATAAAATAGGAGTTTATTAAGGAATTTTTTTACAAAGTAAATTCATCATATAAAGCATCTGTGATGCTAATACATAAGATAGTTATAAGCAGAGGTGATATTCAAAATATTGGACAAGTGGTGTAGCATGGGCACTTCATGCACATCCTGTAGGCCCCATGCCAGGCCAGCATTAGCTCTGTACCATGGGGAGTTCAGGGTGGTCTTAGGAGAGGGGCCAGGGGAGCCAGGGAGCATAGTGGCAGTGGCTCATCAAGGCATGTGGAAGTGTTTCAATACTGTACCAATTGCAGAGGCTGAAGTTGAAAGTAGTGGCCTTGCTTATAGACATAGTTTTATAAAGTCTTGTTTTTTTTTTGTTTTTTTTTTGCGGTACGTGGGCTGCTCACTGTTGTGGCCTCTCCCGTTGCGGAGCACAGGCTCCGGACCCACAGGCTCAGCAGCTATGGCTCACGGGCCCAGCCGCTCCGCAGCACGTGGGATCTTCCCGGACCGGGGCACGAACCCGCGTCCCCTGCATTGGCAGGTGGACTCTCAACCACTGCGCCACCAGGGAAGCCCTAAAAGTCTTGTATTTTTATGTTTTATTTTCATAAAGAAAAAACTGGGACTTATTAATAACAAGCAAAGGAAACCATCAACAAAATGAAAAGACAACCTACAGACTGGGAGAAAATATTTGCAAACAGTGAAACTGACAAGGGATTAATTTCCAAAGTATACAAACAGCTTATACAGCTCAATATCAAAAAACAAAAAAAACAAAAAATGAACAACCCAATCAAAAAATGGACAGAAGACTGAAGTAGACATTTCTCCAAAGAAGACGTACAGATGGCCAACAGGCACATGACAAGATGCTCAACATCCCTAATTATTAGAGAAATGCAAATGAAAACTACAATGAGGTACCACCTCAAATGAGTCAGAATGCCCATCATCAAAAAATCTACAAATAATAAATGCTGGAGAGGGTGTGGAGAAAAGAGCCTCTGACATTGTTGGTGGGAATGTAAATTGGTGCAGCCACTATGGAGAACAGACAGTATGGAGGTTCTTAAAAGACTAAAAGTAGAGTTACCATATGATTCAGTGATCCCACTCCTGGGCACATATATGGAGAAAAGTATAATTCAAAAAGATACATGCACCCTAATGTTCATAGCAGCACTATTAACAATAGTCAAGACATGGAAGCAACTTAAAATGTCCATCAACAGATGAATGGATAAAGAAAATATGGTCCATATATACAATGGACTATTACTCAGACATAAAAAAGAATGAAATAATGCCATTTGCAGCAACATGGATGGACCTAGAGATTATCATACTAAGTGAAGTAAGTCAGAGAAAGACAAACATCATATGATATCACTTATATGTGGAGTCTAAGACAAGGATACAAATGAACTTATTTACAAAACAAACAGACTCACAGACATAGTAAACAAACTTATGGTTACTAAAGGGGAAAGGTGGGGAGGGATAAATTAGGAGTTTGGGATTAACATATACATACTACAATATATAAAATAAATAAACAGCAAGTTCCTACTGTATAGCACAGGGAAGTATATACTCAATAAATTGTAATAATCTATCATGGAAAAGAATGTGAAAAAGAACATATATATATATATCTGAATCACTTTGCTGTATACCTGAAACTAACATGACATTGTAAATAAACTATATTTCAATGAAAATTAAGAAAAAAACCCCAATAATTGAGTGAAGTTCTCAGAAAAAATTTTTCAAAGGATATGCAAACACGCATATTAGTGGTCAAATGTAGACTTATGCACTAAGTGAGAATAATCCAGACCCTACTTGTGGCAAATTTAAAAGCCCTTAGACTTTAAAAACACATCTACATGAATAAAACAAGTTCATATTGCGCCATGAGATAAACACACAATGACCGTCAGCATATTCCCTCACAGTGTGGCACTGGTCTCTGTTTGGGCATGTGAAAACGTGTGTGCATCGTGCTATTTACATAGATACAAGTTTTACATTTACAGGCATTGTATAATCTTATATCTTTGGAGTTCAGGAAAATAATGAATAATTAGTATCCAATGATTAAGGTCATTATTTTACTTTAGTTTTTAAAATTGTGGTAAAATATATATAACAAAAAATCTGCCATTTTAACGTGTGGGATTCAGTGGCATTAATTACGTTCATAATGTGTGCATCTCTCACTATCAATTTCCAAAACCTTTTCATCACTCTAAACAGAAACCCTGTAGTCATTAAGCAACAACTCCCCACTTCCCCCTCCCCCAGGCCCCGGTAACCTCTCATCAACTTTCTGTCTCTATGAATTTGCCTATTTTTGATATTTAGTACAAGTGGAATCATACAATATTTGTCCTTTTGTGTCTGGCTTCTTTCTTTGAGCCCCTGCAGTGATGGGCAGTTCTTTACTCCTCAGAGAGCTGGTAAGGCTGATGGTTATACGGTTGTTACTTTGAGCTGAAATTGTTTCCCTGGAGTTTCTACCCTTTGGTTCAAGTTCTGTGAACTGGAGGACATGCACAGACAAATCTAACTCCTCTGTCACATGGCTAGCTTTAATGTACTTGAGGACAATTCTCATGGCCCCATGGAGTCTTCTCTCTCTGCAGAAAAGAGCATAGTTCCTAAAACAATTCAACCTATGGTATTATTTCCATTTCTTTGTTCACGCTCGTTGCTTTTCTCTGACTGTGCTCCAGCCTATATTCACATCGACCCAAAAGTATTGTGCCCCCGACAGTGGTGTGTTCTGACCAGGGCACAGCAGAGCAGGCATGTGGTCATATAGATGGTAGTGAAAAAATGTCTTTGTAAATTAAGTCACATTTCAGGTGGAATATTAAGAAATCTGGACATGATTTTGCACAACCCAATTTTAGCACCTCTACATTTAGACTTTGTAAGGAGAAATGTATAAAGCAGAGGGTACATTTCACATATTTTGCATATATTAATGATTCTCCTGTTTAAGAAGAAAGATGCTATTTTATGTTTCAGTGGACAGAGAATTCTCAAGGTGCAGTGGTTTCTTATTTGTTATAAGGAAAGAGAGTTGCCTTTTGTAGAAATGTGTACTCACAGCCTGAATTGTTCCTGAATAAATAGGTTCATTTACGAGGATATTATCTCCAGGATTAACGATCATTTCAAATACCTAACAAAAGAAGCATAGGTTAGCTTGGTTAGTTTGGTTTCCAGTCTTAGAAAACACCGCCCCCCCGCCTTTTTTTTTTTTTTAATTTGGGCTCACTAGGATTCTAGAGAAGGAGTTGGCAAGTTTTCTGTATATGCCAGATGGGACGTATGTTGTGAGCCCTGGTGTCTCCATTGCAACTACTCATCTCTGCCTCAAGTTGAGAAAGCTGTAGACAATACGTCAGCCGATGGTGTGGCTGAGTTCCAATAAAACTCTATTTACAGAATCAGACCAGGGCTGGCTTGGCTCTCAAGCCACAGTTTGCAAACCTCCATTCTAGGTTTAAAAAATATATATATACATAACTGGTTTGGCTCCTAAAATTCACGTATTCCTTCTTTGAATAATTTAAAAATCTTTGCTATAAGCCAGGACCTATGGAGACAAACTGATGAGTATAGTGGGATGGTTTTTACCCTCGTGGAGGTGTTAGTTCATTGAAAGCTAGATTCTAATCAAATAACTACTCAGATAAATGCATATGTAAAATCGGTGATAAGCGCTATTGCGTATAGATGCCAATGGTCTACGTGCTTGTTGTAGGAGGACTTGGGCACTCAGGGAATTTAGAGCATTCAGGGAGGGCTTCCCTGAGGAAGTGATGAGTAGGAGGAGGGATGACAATACGTACACAGTTTGAGAAACTGAAAGAATCCTGTGGCTTGAGGTGGAGTGTGAAGAGGAGGGTGGAAGGAGCTCAGAGGGAAGTGGGCAGAGAGTGTCCCAGGGAGGCCTTTGGGCCAAGTGAGCCCAGTGAGAATTTTAAGTAGAGGGTGGGACCGGGCAGTCAGGTGACCAGACAGGCATTTGAGAAAGTGATTCTGGCTGCAAACTCAGAGTATCAAAAAGGAGTGAGAGTACAGGTGGAGTCTGGGAAGTTTTTAGGCTCATTTGGGAGGTTTTCGCTGCAGTCCTTGGGCAAGGTAAGGGTGGTCTGGATGGGTTGATGATGGTGGGGGCTGGAGAGAACTGAGCGGCATTTAGGAAGTCAGAACCAGCAGACCTAACTGTGGACTGAGGGGGCGCGAGGAAGGAGAGGTGTCAGGAGGGACCCCTGGATTCCTGGCTGTGCAGGTGGGGAGATGGTGGGAGGAGTGCCACTGACTGAAAAACACCCCCAACGCTGTCTGTTCTGAGGGAGAAGCAGATGAGTGTGTTTTGGTCTGAGGTGCCTTTGAAACAGCCTGGGATGGATCAGGTGGATCGGTGGACGCATGGATGTGCGGGGAGCCTGGAGTTAATGGCATGGATGTGATCGCCCGGGTGTGATGCCCAGGGAAGGTGTGTGTGTGTGTGTGTGAAGGGGAAAGAGGTTTGGGGGCCCAGCCTCATGGGGCTCCCATACATAAGGGACACTGCAGGGGGGGGCAGGGCAAGGAGGAAGGGGAGCATTCCAGAAAGGAGGGGGGCTCAGCAAGGGTAAAGGAGACTCAGGGGTCAGGAAAGACAAGGCCCACAAATCTGGGGGGATCTTGAGGACAGTATGCTGCCTCGTGACGTCAGGAGAGCCACACAAGAGATTTTTCCAGCCTAAATCGAGGGGTCCATTCTGACTAAATCTTACACGAGTCAGAGAATGATCCTTTCCCAACCTGTGACGTTTCACAATCCCCAGGTCAAGCCTGTCCTCCCTGTATCATTTTAACAAACTAGAGCTCTTGACAAACAGCACGGCCATTGTCCACTGAGACAGAAGATGTGACATTTTTTTCCAATTTGGACTGGGATGTTCCATTTACGTTTCCCTATGAGCTTCTGGCATTTTATGACAAACAGTATCTTCCTCTGACAAGTTCATTGATTCAGGATTTACAGGACATCCTAGGACGAAACAGATCACTGAGGTGGCTTGTGTATGTATCATCTGTGGATCAGATGAAAACCTCATCACATTCATTTCCCATGTCAATTAGGGGACATGAGAAAGTCAAATATCCTAAATGAGGAGGGAGGGCTGTTTATTATCTGAGACACGGACACCTAAAATAATCATCCATCCTGGAGAACAAAGTGGGAGAAATAGTAAACCGGTTTCCCAGGAGGCCTCTGGAACACGCTTGGCTATAAGCCAGTGAGTTACTGATGCATTTGGCCATCTATGCTCTTTTCTCTTTGATATGACTGATGTTGCAACAGACAAAGAAGAAACTTTCTTGTGCATCTTTCTGGAAAAAAAAAAGGCACATAGTGTTCCTTCTTAAGAAAAGAAATTCACTGAAGTCCTTTTTTTTCCCTACTTGTCTGGGGCATCACAAATATTTCTCTTCAACAATAAAACTGAAACAGCAGCTAATCCTTTTGTTTTTCCTAATTAAGTCCAAAAGGAGGGAGGAAAATTATAGTTTTATTACTTTAATACATTATTATGTAATAATAATTTAATGAAAATTCATTAAAACTAACCAGCTTTCACATTTACATAAGAAAGAAGAGCAAGAAAGCTACTCTGCTTTGAGATAAACAAGAGTCATACTTTCACCTAGGTGTGAGGACTGAATGTAGAGCCTCCTTATCCAGGACTAATTATTCATGAAAAAGAAAAGAAAAAAATAGATGAAACTGAGAACCATATATGCAGTCTCTTTATGGGGGGCCCCCCCCAGTGGTGGTTACCTCTGTGGAGTTCCTGGAACCCAGGAGAGAGGCAGAGAAAGAGAGAGAGAGAGAGAAAGTAACCCAGAGGATAAGTCAGCCACAGACACAGACATATACATAGACCTGGAAAAGCACAGCCAAGAGGGAGTCAGGGTACAAGAGGCAGCCGGCACAGACGATGACACCAGCAGACACACAAATGAATGACGTTTCATCTCAGGGGTATCAGGATACACACTCGAAAAATTTAAAAGTCATGCATTGAAATGTCAAAACCACAAACATAACTGAAATGTAGCCTGAATCTCCGAGCTAGATGAAACTAAGCAGCGCTCACTAAGCTGCAGGTAGGGGTTGAGTTCTTCCTCAATGGGAATCTTGTCCTAATGACTCAGAGCTCTGGGTCATTGATGGTGGGATCTCTGTTTAAGAGAAATCAGGTTGGTGAATGTCTTTAAGTTCCACTTATGATTCTAGGTGAAGACAAGGAAGGCTTCATAACCCACAGAACATGATGCTCTGTGGCTAAGGGAGAGATGGCTGTATGGGTGAGCATAGTATTTGATTCTTCCCGCGGGTGCCTTTCCTTCCAGTCTTACCTTACAGAGACCTTCTTGGCTGCCACATGTGACACACATGTCCATTTGTCCTTGGCTGGGTGGATAATGGATGGTGGGAGGATTATGCAATTTTACTTGTAACTGTTTTAGCCAGGATAACAGCTCTGGGAGTCTAAAGCATAAAATGCATGTAAAAATTGACAGTAGTGAAAATCATAATAATAGTAGACAGGAACTAAATGGTGGCTTTATACCAGGCACTTTAAAGGTCCTCAAATGCTTTTTGCCAATATTAATATCTTTACTTAAAAGACAAGGCAACAGACTTAGAGATTAAGAAATCCACATAAAGTTAATCAGTTGGTGATTAAAAGAGCTTTCTTATTCCAAAGCCTGTACTTTTTCTTTTACATTAGAGCACTCACTGCATAATTAAGTTTTTGTTTCCCTTAGGGTGATTTCTGTAGGATACCTAGAAGTGCAGGTTCAGTAAGTTCTTTGCATCATGGAAAGAAAAGCCTAGGTATACATTATATACAATACAATTTTTATGCACCCAACATGCATTATTCTTCAATCACAGAGCAAACAGCCTTTAATAAAGTGTAATTCATAGACACTCTGCAAGTTACCCTTTATCACTGGAAGAAGACCAGCTAAGGAAAGCCTTAGAATATGTGTTCCAGTTGCCTTTATGAAATTAAACACATCTGGACTGAGGGCAACATGCTTACATAGCTGCCTGTTTAGAAAGGGAACATAATCATTAAAAAATTTCCCCAGGACCTAAACTGGCTGCTTCCTGGGTCATCGTTTTCCTCCTTTCTCCTACCCTGCTCCTTCACCTAGCTATCCTCTCTCTCTCTCTCTCTCTCTCTCTCTCTCTCTCTCTCTCTCTCTCTCTCTCTTTTATTCCAGTCTCAGCTCAAATGGTACCTACTTTCATAAGCCTTCTCTCCCTCTCCTAGTCCTGTAAGGTTGAGAAGCAGTCACTAGGGGTCTTAGGCATTCAGTATCATTGCTGCAATTAATTATTCTTACAAAGCTCTTCCCCAAACCTTCCTCACTGCTGAATACCCAGTTAAAAAACGCACACGTCACTCTATCAGCGGGCTGTAGAATATTGCTCATGGAAATGAACCAACAAGGTTACGTTATCTACTGATCAGTACCCAGCACTCTGAGAATACTGCAGTGCTCTCTTCATCATCTCTTCATCAAATTGGATGGTCTCTCCGTTGTCTGTGGTGATAACCGCAGACTTGAAAGGGAACGTGTTGGGGTTTGGTGCTCCGGTCGCCAGGGAGAGGACAGATTTCGATTTCGATGACCTGCCCAATATCTCAGCTACAACAAATAAGGAGAAGAAACACTTTCAGTGAAGCCCTTCCTAAACAGAGCTGGTTCAGCATGCTGCGTTAAAGTCAGTAAAACTTTAAAGTGTAACGATTTCTAGTGATAGAATGCTGGTCCGAAAGAAACCTAGAAGATGCCTTTTTTTGGGGACCGACCTCACCGGTGGAGGAACTAAGGAACAGACACGTGCATCTAAGAAGGCGGAGTGATCAGGCAGACAAGCCAAGGGTCACAGTAACAGAAAACGGGCTTCCACTCGGCCCGTCCGTGCCCGGCTCCGCGCGCACCCCTCTCTCTCCGGCGAACCCGCCCTCCCCACTCCGCACGCGCCCGCACGCTGAGCCGAACCCCGACTCCTGTGCCCGGAAGAGCCCTCTGGAGCCTAAGCAGGACGTGTCCACAGCGGCCTGCCCTCTCTCTACTGCTGATGGCCCGCCCTCGTGCCCGTTCCAGCGCGCCTTCTGTGCCAGGTCTGCGCAGAGCCGGGCTCAGGCCGCCCCGAGCAGCTCTGCGGGGACCGCCGCCTCCAGTGGGAGAGCAGGGCCCGGACTCACTCATGACTCGAATGGCAGAAGGCTTTCTGGCCGCGCTCGCAGCCGTGATGAACCGCGTGTAATTCATTCTCGGATTCCAAGCGGCGCGGCAAGCCCCGCCTTAGGTGGTTGAAGCCTGGGAAAACCAAGGATCCGCGTCAATCCTGCCCCCTAATCCCTGCCCTGGAAAGGCCACCTCTGCCGTCCCCCGCGTCTGGTCTGGCGCGCGGAGCCAGGAGAGGCCGCCGAAGGCCCGGCTGGTGGCTGCGCGAGAGCCCGGTTAGGATCCGGCCTGGCGCGTAGCAGGACCGGCGGAGTCCACGGGCAGGTTAGGATGCGTGCCCCGCCCGCCCTGCGCGACGCGGCCTATGGCCACCGGCCGCCCCTGCGGCGGGTTCCAGCCCTGTGACCACGCCTCCAAGGCCCTTCAGCACACCCACTGGCCTCGGCCCTCCAGGCCGATCCCCACCCCCGGCCTGGCATCCAGCGCGTCCCCGCCCCCGGCAGCGCCTCACGGCCCGCCCCGCCCTCCACGCCTGCAGACTGGTCTCCGCCCCAGGCCTCGGTTCCGCCTGGAGACCTGGCCACGAGCCTCCAACCTGGCCGTCTGTCTTGGCGCAGGAGGTGCGGGGAGGCTGGCCGCCTGCCTGAACCAGGGCCTGAGGCAATTCAAAACCCGGTCTGACTCCTGACCCTGCAGCTGGAGTCGCCGCAGGAAAGCGTCGGGTTGGCCGGGGCGCCGGCGGGCATCTCCCTGAGGGGCTGGTGGAGCGGCCTGAGTCCTCTGTGCCCAGGGCCTCGAGGGCCAGCCGCAAGGCCTGGCTGCCTGATCAACAGGGCGCAAAACTCCTCTCAGAAGGATAACTATAGACAGTCTCCTGGGGAGTCACCAAAGCGACGCGGGTGATTTCCAGCGCCGCTGTTTTCAAGATCTGAGCGTTTTAGCGTGAGGATGGAGTGCTGATAGAAATTTTGGGAGAATCACTCTGAGGCTCTCCTCAAATTTTAGCATCTCCCCTCCGCTTGGGTTTTTTGGACCACTCAGTGTAGATTTAGGTCGCAAGTGTCGATCCAAAAAGATGCCTGTCTTTGGGGCTAATAGCACCTTGTCCCCTTTTCTCACAGAATAATCCTTTTCCTCAGATCCCACCAGTTTTAGCCGTGATTTCTCCTTCCTGAATCATCCAAATGGAATGCACAGGGTTCCACGTGAGCCCTGAATGAGAGAAGATTTGGAGACAGTCTCTCTTTTTAAATTCTTAAATGGGTATTAAAGAATCATTTCTTTTCACCAAATTCCACCCTGGATTCGTTCATTCGGTAAGCATTATTGAGTTCCTCCTGCACGAGTGAGTACTGACCCTCGGCCAAGGGCTTTCTTAGACATAAATAATTTGGTCTTGGAGACACTTCTGCCCTTAGTAGGTCCTGGCAACCACAGGATAAGATAATCCAGGGAAATCTTTATGCCCCCAGCTGAGGAACACAGGGAATATCATTAGTAAAGCTACTAGAAACCCAAGCGGGGATGGAGTTCTGGATTCAGAGACTTCAAGTGGTTTAAATCAGGGGTCCCCAACTCCCAGGCCACGGGCCAGTACTGCTCCATGGACAGGAGCAGCAGGAGGTGAGCGGCGGGCCAGTGAGTGAAGCTCCGTCTGTATTTACAGCCGCTCTCCATTGCTCTCATTACCGCCTGAGCTCCGCCTCCTGTCAGATCAGCGGTGGCATTAGATTCTCACAGGACCGCGAACCCTACTGTGAACCGTGCATGCGGGGGATGTAGGTTGCACGCTCCTTATGAGAGTCTAATGCCTGGTGATCTGAGGAGGAGCTGAGGCGGTGACGCTAGCGCTGGCAAGTGGCTGCAAATACAGATTATCCTTAGCAGAGAGGTTTGACGGCACAGAGACCATCATAAATCAACTGCAGACTCAGGTCAAAACCTTATCAGTGAGTGGCAAGTGACAAGCTGCATCTGGTGGCAGGCTTTAAGTCAGAATCTGACACTTCTTTTAGTCCGTGTGTGGCCCACCCATTATTTTATTTACCACTTCCATCCATGCCTCTTTCCTGCACTGTGTACTTGTCTCAGTCACAGTTTTGGTAAGCCCACAAGCTAATCCTAGCCAAAATGAGTAAAAAACAAACGTTGCTGGAGAGCGTCTTTGAAAAGGGGGAAAAACCCAATGATGAGACAGCAGAAAACTCTTAAGACTGCTAACAAGAAGAAAGCTGCATTGAGAAGAAAATACCAAGAGTCCTACTTAAATTACGGGTTCACCGCAGCAGGTGATTCACATTCTCCAAGCCCGCTTTATATAGTATGTGGTGACCTGCTATCCAATGAAGCCATGAAACCTTCAAAACTGGTTCGCCACATGGAGACCAAGCAGCCTGCATTAAAAGACAAGGCTTTAGGGCTTCCCTGGTGGCGCAGTGCTTGAGAGTCCGCCTGCCGATGCAGGAGACGCGGGTTCGTGCCCCGTTTCGGGAAGATCCCACATGCCGCGGAGCGGCTGGGCCCGTGAGCCATGGCCACTGAGCCTGCGCGTCCGGAGCCTGTGCTCCGCAAATGGGAGAGGCCACAACAGTGAGAGGCCCGCATAACGCAAGGAAAAAAAAAAAAAAAAAAAAAAAAAAAAAAAAAGACAAGGCTTTAGAGGTTTTCAAAAGAAAAAAAACATGAACAGAAGCAATTACTGAAGGCCCCCACTTCATCACATGTGTTTGCACTGAGAGCATCGTTCTTAGTGGCTAACCACATTGCTAAAGCTAAGAAGCCCTTTACTATTGGTAAAGAGTCGATCCCGCCTGCTGCTAAGGACATTTGTCGTGAACTTTTAGGAGAGGCTGTAGTTCAAAAGGTGGCACGTGTTCCTCTTTCGGCTAGCACCGTAACTAGACGAATTGTTGAAATAGCAGAGGATATTGAGGCACAATTGTTAGAGAGGATCAATGAGTCACCGGGGTATGCCATCCAGGTTAACGAGTCTACCGCTGTTGACAACAAGGCAGCAATGCTTGTTTTTGTGTGATATATTTTTCAGGAGGATGTGCCTGAGGATGTGTTATGTGCGCTTTTGTTGCCAGACAACACCACAGCACAGCTGCAGAACTATTCAAGTCTTTGAATGATTACATATCAAGAAAACTGAATGGGTCATTTTGCATTGGTATATGTATGGACAGAGCGGCTGCCATGTCTGGACGGCTTTCTGGTTTCACTACTCGGGTCAAAGAGGTGACTTCTGAATGTGAGTCCACACACCGTGTCATCGTAGAGAAATGCCAGCTAGCTGAAAAATGTCACCCTAATTTAACAACGTTTTGCAGGATGTGATTAAAATTATCAACCACGTTAAAGTACACGCCCTTAACTCATGTCTGTTCACACAGCTCTGTGAGGATTTGAACAGAGAACACACACGTCTTCTCTTATACACAGAAGTGAGATGGTTTCTAAAGATAGATCACTGGCCAGAGTTTCTGAGTTACGAGAGCCACTCCAGAGATTTCTTTTAGAAGAACAGTCACCACTGGCAGCACATTTCAGTGACACAGAATGGGTCACAAAACTTGCTTACCTGTGTGACATATTCCACCTGCTCAACGACATCAATCTGTCACGTCAGGGGAGAGCAACAACTGTGTTCAAGTCAGCAGATAAAGTGGCTGCATCAAAAGCCGAACTGGAATTATGGGGGCGAGGAGTGAACATTGGGATTTTTGACATGTTTCAAACATTAGCAGAGATTTTGAAAGAGACTGAGCCAGGGCCTTCTTTCTCCCACCTGGTGCATGATCACCAATCTCAGCTTTCAGAAGAGTTTGAGCATTATCTCCCAACCACAAAAGACCCCCGAACTGGGAAGAAATGGATCCGTGACCCATTTGTGAATAAGCCAGGTGAATCGACTCTGTCTGTGCTAGACGAGGATCAGCTGCTTGAGATCGCAAGTGACGGTGGCCTTAAAAGTATGTTTGAGACAATTTCAAATCTCCATATGTTCTGGATTAAAGTCAAGGTGGGGTATCCTGAGATTGTCACAAAAGCACTGAAAAGCCTGCTTCCATTTCCAGCACCCTATCCTTGAGAAGCGGGGTTTTCTGCAGTGACAGAAACCAAAATGAGATCATGGAGTAGACTGGACATAAACAACACACTTCGGGTGTCACTGTCTCCCATCACCCCCAGATGGGACCATCTAGTTGCAGGAAAACAAGCTCAGGACTCCCACTGATTCTGCATTATGGTGAGTTGTATAATTATTTCATTATATATTACAGTGTAATAATAGTAGAAATAAAGTGCACAATAAATGTAACGCGCTTGATTCATCCCCAAACAGTTCCCACCCCACTTCCCACTCTGTGGAAAAACTGTCTTCCACGAAACCGGTCTCTGGTGCCAAAAAGGTTGGGGACTGCTGTTTTAAATCCCACTTAATGATTTGCCAGCTGGGTATTTTGCACGAGGTACTTAATCTTTCTGGGCATCCGTTTGCTCACAGGGCCGTGGGCAGGATTAAGTCAGAGAATCTCTGAAGCTTCTCAGCACAGTGGCCTGCTCACTGTAAAAGCATTCAGTGACTGTTAGCTGTTGTTACAAATAGTAACAATGTTCTTAGCAAAACTTAAGGACTCAGCCTCCAAATGGAAATTTTTAAGGCAAATTGTGTCCTTAGTTAATTCGTGTACACAATTAAGAATCTTTGTGAGGTTATCTATTTTAAAAAGTGTTGCCTCTGAATGTTCCTGGAAATTAGCTCAAGAAGCTCTAACATCTAAGTTCGAGACCATAGTTAATTATGAAATAAAACTAGAGATACTGATGTTACTAGAGACTTCAGGATTTTTATCCCCCTTTTAATTAGTGTGGTTCCCTTAGATACTTAATACAACTTAAAGTTCTTCCCTTTGTCAGTAGGAACCTGTTTGGTGAAAGGTGTTTGGTGTTCTGAGCCAAGAAAAAAAAAGTTTAGCCTTTGTAGCCATATTCATGCACAGGTCTGTGCTTCTTATACTATTTATTACATACAGACATTTTTTTGAAGTGTGGAACTCATCCCGTGACCCCCTCACACACACA